TAACGTTGTAATTTCTGAATCACAAGTTTCTAGTTTCAAGCCCTTAAAGATTTGAGCCCAGAAAGGCTGACATTCTAGTGCAGTACCAAGGACGTGCTGCACTGTTGGATGTGTCCTGTTGATGTGATAAGATGTTAAACTGAGGTCTGGTCCATCTGTTCGAATAGATGCAAAGTTTACCTGCTATCATTTTGATGAGCATGAGAGTTAGCTTTGGGGTCTGGCCAATGTTTATTCCTCAATTCACATAACCAAAACACATGATCTGATTATCATCACAGTGCTGATTGTGGGAGTTTCTTATTTTAAAATTGGCTGTCATGTTTGCTGCAGTATGGCAGTGTAGACCTCAAAAAATTACTTCAGTGGCTATAAAGCTCTAGGTAAAAGCAAGTCATTTTTTAATGGCGCCACCAGCTTGCTGTCCAAATGAGATATAATATCAACTTAATTCAAATGTTAACATTTCTTAATGAATGTAGTTTAATTGAAGAGGTGTATTTTGAGTTGTCTTTCAAGCTTGATGTTTAATTTTTTTATATGGAAGCTCAAATACCATTGAATTGCTGAGAGTTATAATTGAGATATCCTCTTCGGCTATGATAGAAACTCCCTAGATTGATGTTCTAGCTGGTCCTACTTTTTCAGCCTGAAAATACTATTTCTGTATTTAAACAATATCTCCTGATGTATTCTGTTCCCTTGTGACATACATTTTATAAAAATGTTTGAGTAATTTTACCATAAATCTTCCTAGTATTCAAAACAGCGGTCATTCTAGTGATAATAAGGTGTAGAGCTGGATGAACACAGCAGGCCAAGCAGCATCAGAGGAGCAGGAAGGCTGATGTTTAGGGCCTAGACCCTTCTTCAGTGAACCCACTTTGCAGTGGAAGTGAGATTGAAGATTACCTGCTCACTAGAAGCTCTTATTTGGGAATGAGGGTTTCTAATTTTATGGAACACTGGTTCTAGTACTGCAACAGGAAGGAGCTGCATTTCTGAACTGGGTTTCACATGCGTTAGTCTTCATGGTAAAGAATGTGGATAATATTCCAGAGATATATGAAAAACTTAAAAAAAATTCAAGAGGTGGAAATAGCTGGAACCAGTGTTGGCAGTTTAAAAAGGAAATTGCCAAGAACTGATGGATTCTTACGAAGAGCAGTAAAACTGGTGAAAAGATTGATGCACCAATTGTGATCTTGTAAAACACTTCCACAAATTGTCATTTTTGATTGGAAAATTGTCAGTCTCCTGCTAGCTAAGATGTAAGAGAGAACCATGGAAGTTATCTATCTATTAATCTAATGTTAGCTATGGGGGGGGATAAAGATATTAGAATCAGTTATCAGAGACAGTAATTAAGCATTTTGGCAAGTATGAACTGATCAGAGAGACATCCAACCAGAATTTGTAATGACAAAATAGCTCAGAATATAAAGGTTGGACAACATTTGTGGAGAGAAAGAGAGTTAACGTGATGATTGATCTTTCTCTAGAACTGAAGAGTAATAGAAATGTAAGTATTTTAAAGCTTATGAATTGGGGGTGGGGTTGTGGGGAAAGGTCTGCTTATGACCAAACACACACTTTCTTTCCTTCTGCAGATCCTAGTCTATGCCTTTGTCACCCTAACCCCCCTCCTCTCCCTATTTCTCCCCGGTGTACAAGCATAGAAATGCAAGTGCCTTGTCACCATCACCACCAACCCCCCCACATCTCCCCAGCTTTCAGGTCACTATCCAAGGCTCTAAGCACACTTTTTTTAAGGGCCACTGTGATTTACCTGTGCTAATTTCAATTTAATATATTGTATTTGCTACTCCTGACTAAATGCACAATAGGTGGTTGCTTTGTATATCACCTCTGTCACACTCTGAGGGTCCGATTCCTTGTTATGTAAATTCTTCAGCTTGTTCCCATGTTGACCTTTCTATCCATGATTTGCAACAGTGTTCCAGTTAAACTCCAATGCAAGCTTGAGGACGAAGACTTTATCTTTCGAATCTGCACACTACAGCCTACTGGAGTTAATTTTTGGTTCAACAATTTTGATCATAACTTACATCTAGTTCTTCCCTGTTTGTTTCAACAGGCTGATGGTCATTCCTTTCTTTATCCCTTCCTGACACATTCAGATGGGTTTTATATAGTAATTCATGCCTTATCTGGACACAACCTTTTTTGTTTGTTAAATATAAGTATTACCAATTTTTGCTTGTTGAATCATGAAATATTTTAAAATTCATCTCCGCTAGCCTCTACCCTGTCACAGATATGTTCTCCTTGAGATCTCAGCTAACTGATTTAAAACTTTGACGTTTCTGTTTCTCTTCAGTTCTGATGATAGAGATGGGCGTGGAATGTTAACTCTTTTTCACAGAACATACAACATAGATCAGTATACCACAAGAACAGGCCCTTCAGCCCACCATGGATGATAATGGAATAGTGTAGGTTAGATGGGCTTCAGATTGGTTTCACAGGTCGGCACAACATCGAGGGCCGAAGGGCCTGTACTGCGCTGTTATGTTCTATGTTCTATGTCTGTGTCAACCATGAAGCTATTCTAAATTATCTGCTCCTCCCACTGCCCGTGCAGTGCGTTCTGGACACCACCTACCCTCAAAGAAAAACAACTTGCCTTGCACATCTCCTTTAAACCTTTCCCATATCACCATCTTAAACCTATGGCCCCTAGTATTTGACATTTTCACACCAGGAATGAGACTCTTGCTATCCACCCTATCCGGTCTAAAATTAGAGGGCACACGTTTGTGACATGGGAAAGATTTTTAAAAGGACCTAAGGGTAGCTTTTTATGCAGAGGGTGGTGCATATATGGAGCAAACTGCCAGAGGAAGGGTGCAGGCAAGTACAATTACAACATCTTTAAAAAGCATCCGGAGGGATTTATGCATAGGAAGGATTTAGAGGGATATGGGCCAAATGCTGGCAAATGGGACCAGGTCAGAATGGGACATCTGGTTGGCATGGACGAATTGGCGAAGGGCCTGGTTTTGTGCTTTATGACTCAATGACTATTGATGATACTATGGCATTAAGAGATGTATTTTGTTCTTTTTTTTTCTTAATGAAGGAAGGTTGAGATAGAGGCACTGGGTGGTCTGCTCAAAGCCAATAAAGTAAACAGCTTGTTGACACTTTGGGATTTATTTTTTAAAAGTTGGAACAATAGAAACAGCCTGAATGGGTGGGGTCAAGCTCCCACAGAACCAGAATTTTTACTTTTAGTTTTCAACAGTTGCTGGGGCCTTGAAGCTTTATATGAAAATTCTTGTTCCTCTGTGTTACGGCCAAAAGTTGGGGTTCTCTTCCTGCTCCTAGAATTGCATGTGAGACAATCTATTTTACTGAATTTGCCTTTGCCAAGGGTGTGTTTATGGGATATTTCTATATTGGAACAGTTAATTAATAGTAGTTAATATATCATTTTGTTAAGCATTTCGATAGTTACAGTTAAGCTAATTCTTTTAATTTGTCTCTCTTAACTGTCGTGTAAAAATAAAGTGTGCTTTGCTTAAAGTCAAGTAGTTTGACCAATCAAATTGTATCTGGAATGCAACACCTTGCACTTGACTTTTAAAATAAGAAAAAGTTAGCCTAGACCCTATCATCTTAATATATTTTGAGTGGGTTTGGCCTGGTCCATAATACAATATGGTATGGTAGACAGAAACGCTGATGAAGGAATCCTTTGTAATCTTCAGCTAAGAACTAGATAAGTCAAAGGTGATGTTAAAGTGCACTTTGCACACAAGCTTGTATAAAATACGGAGTTCTCCCCTTTGCATGTGCACCCCTCATTACTTCCTGCACAAACACCCAAAATAAAAAATATCTATTCAGTTTAGGTCAGTTAAAATTTTCAGAACTGATTTTGACAAAACAAAATCTAAAAGAAATACATGGTGGGTCCAACAGCACCTGTGGAAAGGAGAAAAACAGTTAATGTTTTTGGTTGATGCCCTTTCATCAAATCCGTTCTAATGATCACCATCCAACATTCAGCTCCGTTTCTGTCCATTCTTAAATTCCAATAACATGCTAGGATCTTGACACTGTCCAGTACCATGCAGACTGTTTGTTTGGCACCCCATCCACCAGCTTGAATATTCTTCTCTTCATCACTAAAGCACAATGACAGCGGTGTGTACCATCTGCTAGTTGCACTACAACAACTCATCAGTCTTGCTTGAATAGCATGTTCTAAATTGTGATTTCTACCTAGAAGGACAGGAGCAGTGGATGTCTGGGAACACTGCCTAGAAGATCCCCTCCAAATTGCACACTGCTCTGATTTGGAACTTGATCATGGTTTCTTCACTTGCTGGGTTAAAATCCTGAAAGTTTCTTTCTGTCAGCACTTTGATATATTTGCCCTAATGGACTGCACCGGTTCAAGAAGGGTATTCATCAGCTTCACAAGAGAAATTGGGGATACGCAAATGCTCGCCTAGCCAGCGACACGCTCATCCTGTAAAAGAGTAAAGTAAAATAATGCTTCTTTATAAAAGATTAGTTCAGACTCAACTGGAGTGTTGCATTTAATTTTTGGCTCCTGGAGGCATTAAAAGGAATGCAGAAAAGATTTTCACAAATGGTTCCATGGATGAGAAACTTCACTTACATGGATAGTTTGAAGTAGCTGGGATTGAGAGGAGAACGTTGGAGGATTTTTGATGGTGATGTTCAAAATCGTGAAACAGAGACAGAGGAATGAGAGAAACTGATCCTGCTAGCGAGCAAATTGAGAAATAAGAAAACTTGACTTGAGTTGTCCAACAAATTAACTTGGTAAGATACATTTGGAGAGGATATTTCCTCTTACGCGAGAGTGTAGAACTAGGGGTCACTGCTTAAAAATCAGTGGCCGCACATTTAAACAGCAGAAAGTTTATAAGGCCTTCTTTCTCTGAGGTCTGTGTGTCCTTGGAACTCTGCTTCTACTACATTTTCAGGAAGAGAATTCTTGAGTATTTTTCAGGCAAGGTAGATTTTTGTTTAGTGGGATGGTGAAAGATTATGGGTAGATGGCAATTAAGATTTGAGGTTGTATTCAATTTGGCCTTGATCATCTTGGATGGTAGAACAGGATCAAAGGGCTGAGTGGCTTTTTTTATTCTCTCGTGGGGTGTGGGCACTGGCTGACCAGCATTTATTGCCCATACTTACTTGCCCTTGAGAAGGTGAGGTAAAGCTGCCATCTTGAACTGCTGCAAGCTATGTGCTATAGGTAGACCCACAATGCCCTTAGGGAGGGAATTCCACGATTTTGACCAAGCAACGTGAGGGAACGGTGATATATTTCAAAAAGTCAGGATGGTGAGTGTCTTTGAGGAAACTTCCAGGTGGTGGTGGTCCTTTCTCTGAGGTCCATGTATCGACTGCTGCTCTTTGTTTTATGTTTTATTTATGTATATGAATCAATGACATGAAAATATTATGCAGTGAGTTGTTAGGATTTGGAGCGTACAGCCTGTGTGGGATAGAGTCAAAATCAATTATAGCTTTTGAAAGTAATTTGCATAAGCACCTGAAGAAATTTATGGGGCTACAGGAAATAGTTGGGGACTGTGATTTGCACATTTATTATTGTAGACAAATGGCATGTCTGTGTCAGAGCAAATTTGTTTTTTTTCTGTGTTGTTGGCTTTTTGATTTTCTATTCGTGGGAAATTGAAGCCTAAAGGTACGTTGCACAATTTAGATTGTCTAATTTGTAACCTGCTAAAGCTATAAATTGCTATAATTGAAACCCTGAATTAATGAGCCTTTAATCATTGTTACTTTTCTCATTTTCAGAGTTACATTCATGGAAACAGTCAAGCACAATTTGTAGCTGAAACGCACATTGTGATTTTGCTGAGTATCCTTTGGCCTTTGTTGTGACACAATAGTTTATATATTCAAAAACTGAAGAACTGAAAAAAAAAGCTTCAATGTAATGACCATAATTATCTACAGTTTGATATTATTTTTGGTGAGGCATATTTTATGTACACTTCTACTTCCAGTTTGCAAGCCTGTTATGAACATATAGGATCAAAAGCTCGCATTTTACCAGTTGCCTGCAAGGTTGCCAGTCTGAAACTTTGAGTTTGATTTGATCATTGGCTGACATGGACTCAGTTGCTGGTGATTTGAATATGACCTTGGATTTATCACCAGATGGAGAGTTGAGGCGCGGTACCACAAGGAGAGAGGTTGGGTTCAATTAATCATGTCCTACAGGTTGATCAAAAATATTTACACTGTTAGTATAGAAACTTGCAACTTGAATATTACTTAGCTGGAAGAAACAGTATGAAATACTGAAGCTGAAGAAGAAGTAATTAGAATGGGACATGTGCAAAATATAAAGGTCAATGAGAACAAAGTAAAATTAAAATTGCTTTCTGTAGAATTGAGTAAAACTAATCAGATTTCAAAATCATACTAATTCAGTACAGAAGGAAGCCATTCAGCAGACTAGGTTTGTGCTGCCTGTTTGTAGACCTGATGTAGAGGTGCTGGTGTTGGACTGGCGTGGACAAAGTCGGAAGTCCTATAACACTATGTTACAGTCCAAGAAGTTTATTTGAAATCACAAGCTTTCGGAGTGTTGCCTCTTCATCAGGCTTGGCAAAGGAGCAGTGCTGAAAAAGCTTGTGATTTCAAATAAACTTGTTGGATTGGAAGATGGTGTCGTGTGACTTCTGTGCTTGTAGATTTACCTAGTAAATGTACACTTGCTTTATCTGTTGTTTTCTTCCTTTCGAGTATTTACCCAATTCCCTGTTCCCTTGGGTGTTTTGCCAAGCTCTGTAAATGTATGGCATTCAGTTGCTGAATGTTTTACAATGGGATGTAGTTTCTGCTTAATTGCTTGATTCAAACTACACATAAAATGCTCTTATCAAAACTCCTCATACTTTCTCTAGGACGATTAAGCTCAACTTCCCTAGTCTGTCCACTGAAGCCCTTCATTCCCGGTAGCATTCTAGGAGTTTTCTCCTGCATCCTCCGTAAGACCTTGATTAATGTATAGTGCCCAGAACTGAACACACAACTTCACCTGAAGTGTTGTAGAAAGGCTTGGCATAAATTCCATGTTTTACCCTTTAAATAGAGCCAAGCAGCTTACGTGCTTTTATTTAAACAATTTTCTTAACTTGTTCTGACAGTTTCTTAAAATTTGTGTACATGTTGTGGTAATGTTACAGGACTAACAATCCAGAAAGGATATTGGTTCAAATCTCACCATAGCAGATGGTGAAATTTGAATTCATAGAGTTATTGAGGTCTGCACCGCAGAAAAAGGCCCTTTGGCCCATTGAGTCTGCTTCTGTCAAAAACAAACACCTGCCTATTCTAATCCTATTTTCTAGCACCTGGCCCATAGCCGAGTATGCCTTGACATTGCAAGCGTACGTCTAAATACTACTAAAATTTAATGAGCTTTTCTGCCTCTACCAACCTTTGTAGGCAATGAGTTCCAGGTTCCCACCTACTTCTGGGTAATTTTTTGTTTTATTTTCCCCTCTAAACTTCCTGCGTCTTACTCTAAATTACATCCTCCTGGTAATTTATCCCTGCATCAAGGGGAAAACTTCCTTTCTGTCTACTCTGCCTATACCCCTCATAATTTTAAACATCTCAATTATGTCCCTCCTCGGTTTCCTCTGCTCCAAAAAAAAACAACCCTAGCCTAGCTGATGTGTCCTCATAACTAATACTCTCCAGCCCAGGCAACATCCTAGTAAATCTCCATTGCAACCCCTCTTAGTGCTATCACATCCCTGCTATAATGTGAATTCCAGAATTAGCTGTGGCCTAACCATCACTCTTACTGTTCCAACATAACCTTCTGTCCTTGAACTCTGTGCCTCAGCTAATAAAGGCAAGTATCTACCCATCCTGCTGCTTTAAGTGACCAGTGGATGTGCACACCATGGTCCCTCTGATCCTCTGTGCTTTACGACGTCCTACTATTCATCAGAGGGTGGTGGTGAAGGGATGTTTTTCAGAGACTTGTGACCAGTGGTGTGCCATGAGGATCAACTGGGTCCGCTGCTTTTCGTCATGCAAATATTGGAGGTATGGTTAGAGAGTTTGCAGATCACACCAAAATTGATGGTGTAATGGACAGTGAAGATTATTATCTCAGAGTACAATGGGACTTCGATCAGATGGGTTAATGGACTGAGGAGCGGTAGATGGAGTTAATTTGGATAAAAGAGGTGTTGCATTTTGGTAAAGTAAACCAGGGCAGAACTTTTTCAGTAAATGATAGGGACTGGACTGGAGGGTTTGAGCTATAGGGAGAGGTTGAATAGACTGGGGCTTTTTTCCTCTGGAGCATCGAAGGCTGAGGGGTTACCTTTTAGATGTTTATAAAATCATTGAGAGGCCTGGATAGAGTAAATAGCCAAAGTCTTTTACGTAGAGTGGGGGAGTCCAAAACTAGAGAAGGACATGGGTTTAAGGTATTCAAAATGATATATCCATTACAAAAGGGGATGACTATGGGACTCCTGCACTGCTTGCCTTCTTCAACTCTGCCTGGTGGTCACCCGTGCCCTTTCTGCCTGTCATTCTTAACCTGTAGTGTCACTACCTCGCTGAACATGACATATGATGTACCCAGCATCACAGATGCTCCACTGTGAATTCAGCTGTTGCTCCAGCTCCAAAATACAATTAGTCAGTAGCTGCAGCTGGACACACTTCCTGCACATGTCAGCACCGGGGACAATTCAAGCTTTCATGATTTGCTACATAGCACAGGCGCATATTGCAGCTGCGAGCTCTGCTGCTATAACTTCCCCTAAACCCCTTGGATACTTGCTTTATTTAAAGTTTGTAAGCATACAACTAACTTGCTTCCTTTGTCCCAGTTTTCCTTACTTGTATTACTTCATTATATTGGCCCTTACTCTCACTTATTCCTGTTGTTTCTCAGTTAATCCCTTCTTCCAAATAAAATCTTGAGCCCACCAATGCATGCTTTCTTGTGTTACTCTTTGATTTGTGTGCGCAAGCAGCAATCCCCTGAAGCCGCAGCTGCAGCTGTTAAGCTGTGCTGTCTGCCCCTGCGTATCCACACACCAAATACTGGGGCTTGATTTATCTTGTTGCTGACTCATCTTGTTGCTGACTCCCTTCTCTTTGCTGAATTGAAGATGAAGTGTTGTGCCCCTGATTCTGGACCATGGTTTATCCTGTTTCTGACACCCTTCTTTCTGCTCAGTCAAAGCTGAAGTGTTGGGCCCCCTGTCTTGTTACTGACTCCCTTCTCTCTGCCCAGTCGAATTTAATAAAGATCTGGAACAAAGTTGACCAGAAGTCACCATGTAATCACTGTCAGTTGTAAAATCCATTTGGTTCACTAATGTCGTCTAGGGAAGGAAATCTGCCACCCTTACCTGGTCTGGCTGAATGTAACTCCAGCCCCACAGCAATGTGCTTAACTCCTAAATGCCTTCTGGGCAATTAGGGATGGGTAACAAACAACTTAGTGATGCTCACATCCCAGAAATTAGTTTTTTAAAAAGTACACCCACATCTCTCTTTTCCTGCCCTCTCTTTAAAATCATATCATTTAGTTTGTATTACTGGTACCCATTCTCCCTACCTAAATATACTGCTGCACACTTCTTGTTAAATCTATTCTGTAATTTTGTCTGACCTACAAACCTTTTAAGTGTCTTAACTTCCAAATTATCAGTCTCTGACCAATCTCCTGTTGTGGAATTACTATTTAGCCTATCGTTGCTTTAATTTCAATCCACCTGGTCTAAATTGTATTGTAGTATCCTAACCGAAGATAGCCACTATCCAGTTAAATTTTTTTATGCTTGTTTATTCTTGTCCTGTTCCAAATCTTTCATAAACTTGATGTTATAATGACTCTACCATGTTCCTACTAAATAAACAATTTCCACTTGTTCCTCACCTCATGCTTGAAATGCGTTTCCAACAGAATAACAAGGATAGCCTTGTTGGATCTAATTCTGGTAATATTTCTTACAACTTCTCATCTTCCTTCCTAAACCCCAACCACCCAATCCAAAAGAAAATCACCACCTATTCTCTTAATCTTTATTAGGATAATTAGTTTCCTATCATTTTTACTGAGCTCTACTTGAACCTTTTTATAATATGTCTCCAAATTTCCTGCCTTTGAATTATTTGGTGACCTTGGTGTATGCACCTCGTGTTGTAACTGTTGTTCCTAAATGTTTGCAAAATCCTTCTCCAGTTCTTTTATAGTTTGTGATCAATTCTGTTACTTCATTTTCTTGACCTGTATTTCCAGAACACCTTGCAATCGGGAATCCTACATTCCCGGTCATCTTGTTTGATTCAGATATTGTTTATTGTTATTGTCCTATGTGGCATCTTGTGCCTCATCACCAACCTTTTATTTTCGTTATTTGCCATTTTGTATGCGCACTCCAAACCCAAGTTTGCCTCGGATTTTCCTCGACCGATCTCTCCTATTTCTAAACTATTTTACTCTCGTGCTACTTTATCTCTCCCTGTCATATATCTTCTCTTTTGTCCAAGCGCCCGAAACGTTGACTTGCCTACCCCTCAAATGCTGTCTGACCTGCTATGCTTTTCCAGCTTCTCACCTATAGACTCTGGCTTCCAGCATCTGCAGTCCTTATTGTCTCCAAGTCACTGGATACAAATATGGTTTGAAGGTAGGAGAAAGAGGGTGGTGGTAGAAGGTTGCTTTTTGGACTGGAGGTCTGTGACCAGTGGTGTGCCCCACAGATTGTTGCTGGGTCCTCTGCTGTTTGTCATTGATTATAAATGATTTGGATGTGAATATGGGAGGTATGGTTAGTGAGTTTGCTGATGACACCAAAATAGGTGGTGAAGTGGATAGTGAAGATGATCATCTCAGAGTACAACAGGACCTTGATGAGATGGGCCAATGGGCTGAGGAATAGCAGGTGGAGTTTAATTTAGACAAATGTGAGGTGTTGCATTTTGGTAAGGCAAACCAGGGCAGGACTTGTACACTTAATGCTGGGGCCCTGGTTTGAGTTATAGGGAAAGGCTGAATAGGTTGAGGCTTTTTTTTTCCCTAGAGCATTGGGGGCTGGGGGTGACCTTACAGAGGTTTATGAGATCATGAGGGGCATGAATAGGGTAAATAGTCAAGGTCTTTTCCTAGGGTGGGGGAATCCAAAACTAGAGGGCATAGGTTCAATGTGAGAGGGGAAAGATTTTACAAGGGCCTGAGGGGTAACTTTTCAGAGGGTGGTGCATGTATGGAATGAGCTGCCAAAGGAAGCAGTGGAGTGGGTACAACAATAACATTTAAAAGGCATCTGGATGAGTGTTAGAACAGGAAGGGTCTAGAGGGATATGGGCCAAATGCTGGCAAATGGGACTGGGTCGGATTGGGATGTCTAGTTGGCACTGACAAGTTGAACTGAAGTGTTTGTTTCTGTACTGTATGACTGACAGTAATTCATTTGAATTTGATATGATTTGCCTTAACTACCAATGCAGATGCTGCAATAACATTAGGTATGGTGCTTCTTCACGAAGCAGCAACGTCTAATATGGAAATAGGCAAAAGAAGAAGTAAGTACTAAATACATCTGTGTCGACTAGTTATCTTAATTAGATTAATTGAGAAGTATTGGTATGATTTTGTTTTTATGATCATTCCATTTATTTTGCCAGAACTTCATTATTTGAAAAAGCTAATGTTAGATTTTGAATGAACTTCACAAAAAACTCCCCACATTTGCAACCACCCAAACATTTCAGCCATTTTTCCCTCCTTACTTGAAGGCTTTGAATCTTACTGGGCTATGATGAAGTTAATAACTTCTGCAAAAGCAGAGTGTAATTATTTAACTGCTGGTTATTTATTCCTCTCTTTAACAAATTTTGATTTGTGTTGCAGCAACAGGACTGTTTCATTTACTTAATCGTATCTTTAAGTCAGATGAACATCGTATATCACCAACACTCCCAAAATAAAATCCAACGTCCACTTCTGCTCCTAGCTGCCTCCTCACACGGAAGATGGTGGCATCTTCAGTGTGTGCACTGATGCATCCTTTGGCCAGCCCTGCATATGACAGTGGCTATGTTGTGTTATGGATAAATTATTCCATTTGTGTTAATCACACTATCATCCTTCCTCTTGGTAATCCATGGTAACAAAATACAGCAAGTTTGTCAAACAAATAAACTTGTTACATTCTTATGTTGAATGGAAGTGTGTAAAGATGAGCATTTCTGTAAATTAATCTTTCTTTCATCGATAATTGTGAGAAGGCTATTATTTTGTATTTGTAGAGATTAAGTGTGTAAGTAAAGTGGCATTGTGATTTAAATGTAGTGCAGCATTGCATGATTACTGTTAAGGAATAGATGTCAGCATCTACCACTTACCCTTTTAAAGATCAGATGATTCCAGTAAATTAACTAAAGTATCACTTTTTTTCTCTTCTATTATCCTGATTGCATCATTGATAGCTAGTTTGAAGATGTTACACAATTCAATTTATCTGATCACTGATATGCCTAGATTATTGACTTTTTGTGCTGATGTTAGTTTCAATCCCCTTTACATCTTGGTTCATCACTTTTCACTCCATCCCTGATAAGCTGCTAGCATTTACAATCCTGAATATTTTTTGGTATCAATTTTATAGATTCAGCTGGCCGTTGTTACAGTCCAAGATCCTGCAGTTCAGTACAATGTGTGCTCATGTTAGCATGGTATCGTTTTGAGAAAAATTGATCTGGATTATTTCTGCTGAAATTTTTTGAACTAATGGTCTTGAGGGAACCGATGAATAATAAATACTGGATATAATTTTAGGAGGAAATTATGTTAAAATGGATTTTGTAAAAAGGAAGTAAGGACTTTTAAAATTAAACATACACGTGATTGTGGTAGACTAATATGCTGCAGTGGCTTGGTGATTCACCTTTGTGTTTTCTTTTTACTCTGCAGTTTTGTGTGTGGCAGGACTAGGACTAGTTGGGTTTTTCTTCAGCCTAATGTTGTCTATTTTCAGAGCAAAATACCATGGATATCCATATCGGTGAGTTATTAATAGCATATGCAGTTATGTTATGATGACTGAAACTTAAACTATGTATTGGATGTGTATTCAGGCGTTTTCTGTATCAAACAGCAATTGTGACTCTTATTTCTATTAGCAAGGTTACCTCTTTTTCAGTGTCTTATTTCATCAATTTCAGTAGCTTGGTGTAATTTATCTCAGCTGTGATTAGCAATGGGGTTATTGCTTAGGAAACATTCAAATATTGGAGGTTATGATAGGTGAGCTTTTTTGAGGTCTGTTTCAAGTAGATTTTGTTCCTCCTCCTCCTTTTGATTACTGTTTACTTTCAAATTTTTAATTTGTTACCCTGTTGTCAACAGGGTAAATCAGAAGATACTATCTTTCTGACACCTCCCAACTGCTGCGTCGCTATTTATCATCAAGTCTGTTTGCAAACTGATAAAAATGAGAAACTTTTTATTTAGATTTATCTCTGCTTCTCATCTCCTAAAGTGTACTAGTTAACTCTGGAGTTAAGGTACCTTGAACTTGTCATGCTACAATCTGATTTTAAACTGACTGCTGTGCGGGGCATTATTGTTCATTGGGAAGATGGTTTATTTGTCAATGTGATTTGGAAGGTTAAGTCTTTGGGAATCCTTTCCGTTCTTGAAAATAAATACCTTAAAAGGTCAGGTGGTCTTATCTGAATGAGAATTGGGAAGCTTACACTGCTGCATCTCAGTTTTCGCTCTCTCACCTCCAACAGCACTCCATTATATAAAACTTTTGTCAGTTTGAACCTCAGCTTTTGGGAGGTTTAGATGAGTGGAGATGTGTGTAGATGTTCTCCAGTTAAGCATGGTTTCTCGCAGTGTAGATTTCCTTTGAGATTTTTAAAAGATGGCATCTGTTCTTGTCATACATGTAGCTGAACAAAAATGCAGCTGGTTCTGTGGAGGAGCCTCATAATATTCTTTTAAATGGTAACTTATTTATGCATATGTACTTCTGATTAAATGGCAAAACTACTCTAGGGTGTTTATCCACAGTTTGAAGTGTTCCCTCGTGTTGCATAAGGAAATACATTTTTCTTGGGGTAACTGAGTTTATCCCTTGGTACATCCAACTTGGAGACTCTTGGGTTGAGAACTTTCCTTGCTGCTGGAGCAATTTGATGCGTGAGGAAATGGCAGAGGCAGAGACATAGACTGGAGCTGTGGAATTCTACAAGTCCACACTATAACTTGGGAAGTCCATAAAATTCAGGTGCGTCTTGTAATACCCCTGCAAAGCAAAGGAACACTTTGATCATAGTCTTGCATACAAGTGGAACTAAAGAGCTGCTTTGAATATTTTGTTTGCTTTAAACTTTCTAAAATGTGTTTGTGAAGTTATCATATAGTTATTGTCTAGAATGTTTGCTAATTGAATCTATTTTAAGTTCTGCCCATTTTATCTTTACCTTTTAGCTTTCTTATTAGTTGATCCTGGACACACACACAAACTAGAAGGACGGCACCATGGCTTGAGAAATATACACAAAAAAACACTTGAAGTTAAGAAGAGTTTGGTTGTGTTTCAGATTACTTTCCAAAGTTATTGCAATCAAGGTCTCTCAAAGGAAGACTTAAACCAAAGAGAGCCTACAGTGCCTTAGCAGATTTTTAAGTTTACTATCGGACAAGAAAAATATTTTAAAAATTGGAAAGGTTTCAAGGTATCCTGGGAAAAATAGAAAATAATTTAAAATTGTTTGCAATTTTCAAAGAAGTATGCCACTTCTGTTGATTGATTGATTAAAGTGCCTTAACCTGAATTGTACATCAAAACTGAAGGGCTGATTTGCATACTTGTAAATTTATACTAGTTGGTATGTGATATTGAAGTAACATTTTCAATAGCTTGACCTAAAATGCCACATTCTGTTCTGTACATTGAGTCATTTTCTTCAACAGATACTGTGAAACTGGCTGTTTGCATTTTGCATTTACAATAAAGAGATGACTTGATGTCTGTGGTATCAATAACTGGGAGCAAACATTAGTCTGCAGTAAATTCTTTTGAAGTGCAATGATGTTTGTTTGATCACCTAGAAAACTTTTACAATGTGATTATTGATTCAAACTGTTAGTGAAGAAAGTTTGGTGCAAAATATGAATGCAGCTAATAATTAAATAACTGGGAGTGCATGGTGCCTTGGGACCTAGGTTCAAAACCAGAAAGATGCAAGTTGATTGAAATGCATTGTAAAATGCTAGCTTCAATGCCTTATTTTTATATTAAATGTAAATTGGATGATAACTGAATTAAATATTGCCTCTAATTGCACAGTTAGATTTGATATGTTTTAAAAATGTTCTGAATGTAATTTTGTGCTCCATAAAGAAAACAAATATTACTCCAATTAAATAATATTCATTTCCAATATTTTCATTTCCGATACAGCCTAGTTAAACTGCAGAGGTAAAGCTGCTCCAGTCATAGATCAACGAACCATTAGTCAGAACCCCTGGATGAGGAAACTTTGCCAGAGTGACCAATTTTGATCACAATTTATTGAGTGCAGCTACAAGTGGGTGTGTGAAGAGTCTGACTAAGCTATGTAGGCCTTCTGTGGAATAACCTCCAAATAGATGTTTGGAACTATACCCTAGCAAGATGTTGATGCCATTAGGAGAGAATTAAAAAGGAATAAACAACTGAGGAAAATTGGGTAACCAAACTTTTGAACAGGGAGTAAAGAAGGACATCCGGTGTATTTAAGATGTATGTTCAACGTGTAGTTGTAGTTGCTTTTCCCTTTTATAACTAAACTTATCACTTCCCTCAAAGTTCTATCTTGGGTTCTTTGAAGACAATTTATATTGTGTTTGAAAAACCAGTGTGTTGATAACACATTTTGGCAAATATTTTTTGTTTATAGTCATTCAATTTGTCAATACAAATATGTAACCAGACTTTTCCTTCAAGTGAGCTTTTAATTATCTCAATTCTCCAGGCACAATGAAAATAGAATTGTGTGAGGTTATCTGTTTTGGACCACAAAAGGATACATCAGGATCCTTTGTAGGTGGGATGAAGTTAAGTACAGTGGATGTCCAAAAAGACTTGGAAGTTCGGGTGCAGAAAATAATCAAAGCTAATGGAATACTAGCCTTTATATCCAGAGAACTGGAGTATTGGGTTGCAGAAGATATGCTGCAGGCATACAAAACCATGGATAGATTTTGCATGGAGTACTGTGAGCAGATCTGGAAGGATATATTAGCCTTGGAGGGAGTACATCATAGATTTATAAGAATAATACCCAATCTTCAGAGGTTAACTTCTAAGGAGAGGCTACTCAAAATAGGCCTCTTTAACTTTCTAAATGCTAGAGAAAAAGGGTCAGTTGATCAAAGCCTTCAAGCTATTAACAAAAGACAGAGTAGGTAAAGATAAACTATTTCATTGGTTGGAGACTCTAGAACTAGACTTAGGGCTAAATTAGGGCCAGATGAATCAGGAGAGCTGTTAGGAACTACTTCTACACCCAAAGGATGGTAAATATTTGGAACTATCTTTGCTAGATCAGTTGTTAATTTGAGATAAACTTTTGTTCAGCAAAGATTTAAGTGATAGGATCAAAAGCAGACGTATGGGCTTAGGCCATAGATCAGTCATGATCTCATTGAATGGTGGAACAGGCTTAAGGGACTGAATGGCCTACTTCTGTACCTAGGTTCTTTTGAAAGTAATTTATATATCATAGCAATGATTTGAGCAAATTGACTGCAACTTGTTTCCCTTAGCAAAGGATATGCACATTGCAGCTATGTGATGAGTATAGAACTTGATAAGGATTTTTTTTCCTTCCTCTTCAAAGGTTTGACTTTTTTGTCTTCTTTCTTTATTCCTCATTATTTTTCTCTTGAAGCCATCAACTTCTTGCACAGTTCCACACATGTTTTAGTAGGCTGTTCCATTTGGAGCTTTGCTTACTATATTCTGATCAGGAAGGAGACCCTGGAGAATTTTCCTGAACCAGAAGGTCTGACTGCTGATTACACTGGTTGTTCCTTATCTATGTCTGAAAAACTTCAGCCTTGCCTTTGTACCGGTCTCCTGAAGTGCAGATGTCTGATATAAGTAATGGTTGCAAATTATTTTTTAATTCCAATGTTAAAATGAACAGGAGATTCTGTTTTGTTGCAGATCTCAAGTTAAATTGGCAACGAATAAATTATCAATGCTATTGGCTCCCCGGGCATAAGAAATAAAAGTAGCTAGGATTCCAGCTGATTGATACCCAGTAGCATTGGCTAGAATGTGTGTATAGCTATTGGGTGAGGACCCAATTGAGTTGAGTTGTACTGCATCTTGTGTTTACAATAGCCCATTCTCTCAAAGAATGGCTTTAGTCAGAGGGCACGGTACTTAAGGATGAGTCAACACCTTCAGAAGCTGAAAGATATTTTTTGACATGGGTTTGTACAAAAGGGGTTCAAAAGGAGCATTTGGGAGACCAGCATCATTACATGACAATATTTTGTTTAGAATTGGAGAGTGATGACAATAAAGGGCTTTATCCCTATGTAATTCCTTTTGTAGATTTTGATGCCTGGTTTTAAAAATACCCTAATATATCAAAAGCTTTTGTTGTTACAGTTTGGTTTATGTATGCTTACTGGCTTCTCAATGGTAATTTTATGGACACTTGTACGATCCTGCCCATCATTTCCAGTCTGTTTTTGTCGCGCCATTCATGACCTTATAAAAAGGTAAATGTTAGACTTGCAGGAAATATGCACTGTAGACAAGATTCCGTGCATTGTGAGTAGATACCTATGGCATTATGCACAGTGTTGGAAGATGCACTTGATGTGTAATGCCTCTATTAAATAAAGTGTTTTAATACTAGGAAGTGTTACAGAACGTAAGTATGATGCTTATAGAAAGTACATTGTGCTACCTACCCTCCCTCCAGTTGTAACATTTCTTTCCACTGTTACTATCTCTTGTGTTCACACTCCACATGGCTCTGTCATGGATAGAAATGTACACAAACACGCGTGCAAGCAGATGTGCACACTGTCTGTCCCCATCATTCCAAAACCCACTATGAAATCACAGGTAGTAGGAACTGCAGATGCTGGAGAATCTGAGATAACACTCTGTAGAGCTGGATTAACACAGCAGGCCAAGCAGCATCATAGGAGCAAGAAGGCTCTAGGCCCGAAACGTCAGCCTTGCTGCTTGGCCTGCTGTGTTCATTCAGCTCTACACCGTGTTATCTCATGAAATCACAGGTGTCCCTTTTTTTCATGAAAACAATCTGAGGCTAAAATGGACATTCAGTTATCACTAAATAAAAACAGAACAGTGGATGCTGTAAATCAGAAACAAAAATAGAGATTGCTGGAAAAGCTCAGCAGGTCTGACAGCATCTGTGAAGAGAAATCAGAATTAACGTTTCGGGTCTGGTTCTGAGGAAGGGTCACCAGACACAAAGCGTTAACTCTAATTTCTCTTCACAGATGTTGCCAGACCTGCTGAGCTTTTCCAGCCATCTCTATTTTTGATTCAGTTATCACTTACGGCTTTCAAGACAAAATGGACAGTCATTGAATTCAATCTTCAATGCAGTAATGATCACGGATTATATAAATTATGTAATTCACTTGGCAAAATTTCTTTTACTCTATTAAATGGCACATTCTGATTACTATAAATAATACTGCAGTATTACACTGTATAAATAGTTATCTATAAACCAAATATTAAATGTTGGACGAATGCAGTCATGGTGAGATTTTGAATTGGTCTGTTTTGTGTGAGAAATTACCAGTTGCTAATTGTTATAATTAAACTGGATAGCACAAGCCTACTTTTCAATTTTCTTAAATATCCACCATAAGCAGTATCTTGTTATCAATTTTGTGCGTATTTAGATATGTTTTGTACTAAAAGCACTTTAATTTAGTCAATGCTGTCTGGTTTTGTATGGGGCAGAAAACTACAGGCACATAGCTCTATCTCTTGTCATGGTGATACTATTGTACTGGGAAATAAATATGAAGCTTTCTTGCAATGCATTAAAATGCTGATAAGTAAGCCAGTGTACCCACTAATGTAAAATATTCATAAAACAAGTAACAGGATCAAATTCAGATTTGTTGCATTTTGAGTACTGTCCAGGTTCATGTACACAAAATGCACACTTGATCGAGAGATTCCAGTTTCGGGGAAAATGTATTCTGCGTTTCAGAAAACTGTTTTTGCGCTATGGATCAGATCATGTATTATTTTTCTAGTATTCTGTTCTATTTCTTCCTTTTTTCGTCAGCAGCATAGTTTTTCAGCTTATCTATATAACATTGGTCTCAGCACATGAATTATTTTAACTCTGTCTTAGTCTTTCTAAGCAAACCTAGCACAAAGTGATATGTGGTTTTAACAATATGCTGTCAATAGCCCATATTTTCTCAACTTAAAATAGACAACATTTTATTTTGTGTATATTCGCTTTGTAATTATGCTACAAAAATACCTTCACTGACTAAAGAAGTGACATTTCCAAACTGTCTACATGCAACACTTCGATGGTTTGCTTCATAGGGTACTATATTGCAATATCTCACTTCGCATTAAAGACCGTTTTCCATTTGTCTACCCTAATAACTATATCTTAATAATTAATTTGGCAGCTCACTTTTTTTCACATTTTGGAGACCATCTGCGGAGTTAACTTTTTATTTATTATCTTATAAAAGTCATTGCAAATGAGGAACAGTAATGGATCTAAGTAGTTCTCCAGGCATTTCATTTATTACCTCAGATCAATCTGAGAAGTACCACTAGCATATTGTCGAAATATTTCTCCATTTAAGTTTTAACATCCCTTCCATGTGCCACTTGAGGTGCATAAGATTGGCTTGTGTGTTATGAAGTGGAGGTTGACCCCTTCTGAGAATTAAAACCGAAACACCCAAAAAGGAGTATCTCACCCTATAATCTGTAAAAGGAGTGTAAAAAGTGGTGTAACCTGCTTTTCAGCAA